GGCTGGCCCCATCCCCCCCAAGCCCCTCTGATCCCTGCCCCACCACCTCATATTTTAAAAAAACCAACCCCCCCCGGCACTTACCTGCAGTCTGGCTGCTGTCTGGCTGACTTGGGCCCTGCCCACAGAGCATGGGGCAGGGTGACAGCAGTAGTGTCACACAGAGGCCAACCCTGCAACCACAGTCCACTGGCAGCTGGCCCAGAGGGGCAGATGCCTCCACTGGCTATGCAGTCCCTCTGGCAGGTGCGCAGCAGGTCACAACCAGGCAGCAGCCCCCACTGCAAGACTGCTACAGTGGGTAAAGGGTGCAGGGAACAGTCAGGGCTGCTTCAGCAGTCCAGCTGGCACAAGGGCTGGGCCCCAGAAGTGCCTGAGAGCTAGTAGCCCTGAGCTACTTGCCCGGGCAGCTTTTGTACTGATAGAGCCAGGACAGGGTAACTTTTTATACTGCTGGGGACAGCACAGGCGCTGGCCCCGGGCTCTAGCTCCCCCTGGCTGTAGATCCAGGAGGAGCCAGGCAGGGTTATTTTGCCCCAAGTGGTACAATTTGCTCCATACCAAAATGCATGTCTGAGTACATGCGCGGAAGCAAAAAGCTCTGGCTCAAATTTGCGCAGCTTTTATTTGAGCTGCTGCAAGCACATGTGCTTGCATGTGTGGACATGCCCAGAGTGTCTATCCACACTCAAGAGAAGAATCAGCCTTTTAACTGGTTGTACCATTAACCCCAGATATTGCTTGTGGTGAATATCACCAATTCCTAGGCTCATGTACAGTGCCTGAGATGCGTGCTCTTATTTTCTAAGTCAAACTGTCTGGTACCCACACACAGGGTCTCTCCCAATTTACAATGCCACTTTGATGTAGTCACTACTTAGTTAGGCGTCTTTATTCCGTGATGCACTGCTTACAAGTTCATTTGCATTCACAACTGCAGGGAACTTTACCAAGTCTACCGAGTCTCTTATCCCCGCTTGTCATCCATCCCCATCATCTTGTGCTGCTTTCACAGGATCATCCCTGCTAATGCGAGCATTACTCTCTTGCTTTGTCTTAGGTAAATTAGCTGTCAGCCATCACACTCATCGGGATGTTGCTTCCACTCCATGTTCAAAGATCCCAAGCTGAATCTTCTTTCGAGATAAGTTTCACTTTCCCTTTTCCTCCAAAGGAGATTCAGCTAACTCCCTGCCTGAGAGCCAAGTGAACTACTGCACCTCCGTGCAGCCTGCACAAGCTGAAGCTCCTCTGTGCATCTCCTCTCTGGGGCAATGACCTTCTTGACCTTCTAGACCACATGATTTTAACTTCCAGTTCATGGACCAAGCCAATAAAGATCGGCTTCATTTTTGTATGGGTTCTCGCCATAACTCTCCGGCAATTAGAAAGTAAGACCCCAGCAGTTGAGATCCGTTACTTTAATATCTTCACTCCTTTCAGGTATTTAACCCCTCCATACCAATAGTTGATGGCAGCTCCCCTCCTTGAAACAGGGCTTTCTGACACCTCCTGTTACACTTTTAAATCTCTGTACAGCCCCATTCTAGTCTATACCTTTGCCTTGAGTTCTGCATGCAGAACTGTTGCCTTTCCTTCCTTTCTCCACTCCTTTATTTGAGTCTTCTTTCATGATGTGAGTGGAACAGAGCCATGTAAGTCAAGGCAACCATGTGTCTTTGCTGTGCAGCTTGTTAACAATGATATTTGGAGTATATTTCACTCTTGGCTCTCCAGCCATACTCTACCTTTTGTCTTTATATTGCAAACTTTTAAAGTCAATTATTTCATTTTATCTTTAGTATGCTTTACCTGCTCTAAAATTGCTTGTAAGCTTATGGTACTATGTATGCAATAACAGTGCACAATAAAACATTGTACTATGAGAACATTAAATATGCAGTTACACAGGTTAAGGTCAGGAAGTGACAGTGTCAAAAAGATGCAACTAAAACAGAAAACATAGGGAGGAAATGAATAAAAAGAAAGAAAATGTCATGGACTGCCTAAAGATTAGAAGAGGTTTTACAGCAAGATGAAATTCATTCTGTTATGTTACTACTTGCTACAGTGAAAAAGCTAATGTATGGCATTCCATTCAAAAATCACTCTCATCCAAGGAGTCTGACAGAAGTTTGCTTCATTTGTGGCTGATGTCAAATGGATCAGCATTACTTAACATGCATTTCTAGATGACAGAAAAACTGCCTCTAACTGTCTCTTCAGACTATTAAAAATAAAGCTCCCTATTTCTTCCTTCCCCAGACAAACAGGGTTCCATCACTATTATTATTACATATGATTACAGACACGTACCAGTGGGATGCTATATTAACAATGTTCAGTTAGCCCAGAGGTGGGCAATTATTTCAGCTGGTGGGCCACTTAACGAGTTTTGGTGAGCAGTAGAGGG